GGTTTTGAGTACGATGCATGTCAAGTGTTTGCTGTAAAAGTTCCATAAGCTGTTCTTCTATTTTATCTCATGCAAACATAATTCTATTGGCTGAACTGTTCAGCAGCAGTGAGTAAAAAAAAAGGCACATTTTTTTTTCCAGAAGGAGAGAAGACAAAAAAGTGGAAAAGAAAGTGTTAAGAAGATTAGTTTAAAAACCAATGTCACTGATTAGCCATTCAAAAATACGTTAGAGCTACGTAGGAAGTGTTAAAAAGTCATCTGTTTCCAGTAGCAGTTCGGTTAAACTTTAGCTTCGAATGCATCCTGAAACTACAACGTTTGCCTTTTCGGTTACTGCTCTTTCGACTTGACTATTTAAACGCTTTGCTCAGCACTACTTTGGTCAAATATTACCACATTTGTCAACTTTGTTACGTGTTTCGCGAAAAAAAAAGCGGAGACGAAGAAGAGAGAACAGTTTTATTTGTTCAATCTACAAAAATAGAACATAAGCCAAAAAAAATTTGCTGTTTGTTAGAACAGAAGGTTGAGTGATGTTTTTGTGTAAAATTAAAGAGTTCGATGTATCTGAAAGATAATATTGCAGTAACAGAAAGTCTACAAATAGCAGTAGTAACGAGAGCGACAGCAACGGCAAAATGAAACCTGTTAGACGAGTCCGAACATTAATGCCTTACCGTTGGGTCAGTCAAGAAACTATATTTTGCTAAAAACCTTCAAAAATAACTGATATTTTGTTTCGCCGTTGGCTAAATAAACCATTGTAATTAGTGAGTATTTTCAAAAACTTATTTCAATACTTTAGTTGTTTGTGTCTTTCTTTTTTGCTTTATTCTGTTGAAACAGTATATTTACAATGTACTAATAATACCTTTTTTACTTTATCTTTTTTATTATTTTACTCAGCAACTATTCCTGACACTTTTGTTATAACATTTGACTAATTTTTCATTTTTAATCCAGCTGATATTGTTATTCAGAAAATTTTTTTCCATTTTAGTACCTTTGAAAAAACCTTTTGTTTACAAAGATTTGCTTAGCAATTGCTTATTTTGATTAAGAGTTTCATTCTTTATGATCTTAATCTTGTTTATATCACTTTTTGATATTCTATATCATATTCATTTTTGAATCATTTACTAGTACACTAAATTATAATTGGTTAAAATTTCTAAAACTTTGAAAACTGTACGCCAAAACTGTATTGACTTATTCTCTGTTCTAGTGATATGTAAAAAAAGAGCAGAAAATTAAGGAAAACTTTTGTTGACAGATCTGTTTTTACAATCGTTTTTTTTTCTCTGTAAATTGCATCAGAATGCTTTGGTGACTGAATGTTTGTTGAAAATCGATGTTTGGAATCAGTTCGCCTACGAAAGTAGGTGCATCTAGTTGTTGGCGTAAAACATTTACATGTACTGTTTTTCAGAACAAAACTTCAGTTATTTCAGTGATAACTGATAGGTTTGGTAATTGCTGCTTTAGTGAATGAGAAAGCTATTTCAAATCATTAAATAGTATAAAAGCAAAAACCAAAAAAAAGCGAATGGTTTTGGCAGTTGTTAACAGTACTTTCTAATTTTAGACTTCTTTTATAAACTAGATTTTAACAAGGTATTTAGAGGCAAATAGAAAAAAAAAATTTTCTACTTTGACCATTGTTATCTGTCTCTCATTTTGTAAAGCTTTTTTGAAACTTTAAATTCATTTATGCTCTGTGGAATTTAGTTTTAATCTGGCTAATTTACGACCTTACCGACAAAACAGTAAAATAAAATGTATCGGTATACCGTTTCTGTGTTTACTGCAATTTAGCAGCTGTAATGTTTTATTACTGATGCTTATGCCAATTTTAGTTTAAAAGTTGGCTCAGTTGAATAACCATTTCAACATTTTTAGAGTATATTAAAGAGGCAGCAGTTGAATGCAACAAAAATTTTAACTATTCTTGTTTTTGCTCTCTGACTGTAAGCATTTGTTGGCTTCTTGCCTTAGCGATAAGAATTTATTAAAAGTAAAAAAAAAAAGCACTTTTGAAGTTTGCAATTTTTGTTTAATTAATGAGCTTAAAAAGTTCTTCTAGTTCAAAAAGTCAAACTTTATCTACCGATAAGTAATTTGCGACAACTTTAAATAGAAATTAGCTTACTTAACCTGTCAGATGCAAATCTGCCTTGCAGGGTAAAATGATGTAAAATTGAAGTCCAGTTATGGAAATGCTTGACTTAACTGGTTGATCTAGATAGAAACACTTGCTTATGTTAGGTATTACCAATCGTAGACTCTATTGTCTATTCCTCAGGGTATTAGTACAGTCATAGATCAGGTAGCCACTGCTCTGTTTTAGGTAACTCTGAATTGCGTATACACGTAGTCGTTTGCCGATATCGGGAGGCTTGAATTAGAGCAGTTGTTCTGCCGTTCATCGGTGTGCGTCTTCTGGTCGCACTTGCCTATTTCTATTCTAAATTTCCAGGTTTATTGAGACAACCTCTAAACTTAAATTCCTGTATAATCCAAATGTGTGTTCACTTTACGCTATCGAAACTTTCCTTCGCTATCTCTTTTCACTTTAGCCAATTCTCTCCTTCGCAAACCTCAATTTGTTCATAGATTCTTGAAATGCACAAAAAAATCATTCTCTGGTCACTTGAGAAGATTATACTCAGGTCAACACTTAGATTGAATAAGAATACAACAGCTTAGACCTTTATTCAATAGAAGTTTAGTGTTACCGTAAAGACAAAAAAGTGAACAAATCTCCTCTGGTTATTGGCTTAAAAAGCGAAATAAAATTTAATGTTTTATAGAAAAAATGAAGAAATATTTTTTGTGATGACTACTACGAAAGTATTTCTGTTAATTTAAAATTTCGTTTATTTAGGTCTGTAATCAAATCGGTAAATTACTTTTAGATTTTATTTATTAAATCTGTTCTTTACAATAATGCGTGAGACACAATCGAATGAATTTTTTGCTTATAAGCACTGATTTTTTTTTAAAAGCTATCATATCAAAAATTTTCTGCTACTATTCTTTCTCAATAGTCTGTTGTCAGTGAAGTGTTTTCCAGTTGAAAAATAATAAACTTCGATTGCCTGCGCTGTTAGTGGAAGTTGTTTTTAACCAATATTTATTCTTGTTAAATAAAATTTGTTTTTTTTTTTCTTAACAGTTTAACTGGGAAAAAAATTACATTAAAAAAGAAAGTTAATTTTAGACGGAATGGTAACTTTGTGACTTCAGATAATAGAATCACTGTAACATTCATAAATACTGTTCATCTACTGCGCAAAAAAATTTGTTGCACGTGAACATTCTTTTTTATCAATAATAAAGTGATATACGATTAAGTTTAGGCAATTATTACTTTACTCACAAATCAGATGTTGATTAAGACTTGTTGTATACTTTTATTTGGCTCTGTATTTTTGTCTTCCAATCTCATCAAAATGCCTCATTTTAACAGGTCATCTTAACTGCAGTGATAAATTTTGATTTTTTTTTTTTTGCTCGGACTCAGCGTCGCTTTTTTTTTTTTTAACTTTTGTTATCAATTGACAGTAGAAATTTTGCCAACGTTTATGTGCAGTAGAAAATAATTAACGATTGTCAGCAGTTGATCATGAGAAACTATTATCAGTTACTGAAAGTTTCCAGAAAAAAATGGCCACGATTATTGATGGAGTCGCGATTGCAGCTGAAGTAATTGGTGATCTGAAAAAACAGTTAGAATCAATTCGAGAAGCTCATCCTGATTTTACTCCAGGCTTAGCAATTGTACAGGTAAAAAAATTGTCTTTCTTACTAAAAGTAAGTTTGCTTGATATAACATAAATGTATAAGCACTGAAAAATAGATTTTACTTTGCTGTTATTGAGTGATGTTTCTGACTCCAGTTCCTTCAAGCGCAAAGTCTAAGCAGAATAAATATTATTAAGAGTTACGAATTGACCTTTTAAAAGTCGAATTTTGTAAAGAAGAGATCAATTATTAGGTTCAGATTACTAAAATGATCAAATACTGTATCCTTTTTAAATTTTTAAATTGCACTTTTAGTTTTATGTTTGCTCACTAAATTACTACAACTGAGTACCGTATAGTTGCAATAACTTGCAAAGTTACGTTTTTGAAAACTGTTTTCTTTATAAATCTTAAAGCAATTATGGTTTTATCTACAATTCTTTTACGTTGATCATTTTAAGACATATAGTCATTAGTGACATGTGAACTATAGGTAAGTCAAGTCTCAAAATACTTTTGCAAAATGTAAAGCTAACTTAACTTTGTCAAAGCCACTTAATCATTAGAAGCCGTCCCTTTGTTTTACAGAAAACCAGCCGTTTGACGACGACACATAAAAAAATAAGTTGAATAAAATCAAAGCCAAAATGTTCTATAGCTCTTTTAAGGTCTTAATGTGTTGAAGGTTGGTGACAGAAGTGATTCGAACGTCTACATCAAAAATAAATTGAAAAAAGCACGAGAATTGGGAATAAGCGCCAAACTGGTCAAACTTGAAAATAATATAACGAAATTGGAACTGGAATCTGTCATTGCAGAATTGAATAACGATGACTCTATTGATGGCATTATTATTCAGGTACTTTAAAAAAATGTAAGCTTTCTTTTTCAATCTTTTTTTTTTCTTTCAACTTCATCTCTGAATGACGGTATCTTTTTTTATTGGTCTATTGCTAACAATTTTTATTATCACTTTAATCGGTATCTACACAGCTTCCACTGGACTGTAAAAACCAAATTGACGTAGACGCAGTAATTGACCAAATTGACCAAACGAAAGATGTTGATGGATTGACAAGAGAAAACGCTGGTCGTTTGGCTAGAGGAGAACTAGACTGTGCTGTCATACCCTGTACTCCTAAAGGATGTTTATACTTGATTCAGAAAGCTACAGGTAAGTTTTATGAAATTTTTGGCAAATTTAATTATTTGTTTTTTATATAGAAAAGTAGTAACTAATTAGGCACTGTTTATTAGGTGATAATGATTACGTGAAAGGAAAACGTGTGGTAGTAATTGGACGCTCAAAGATTGTGGGTTCTCCTGCAGCTTCCTTGTTCACTTGGCATCATGGTACCGTGACGGTATGTCATACAAAAACCACGAATCTTCCAGAACTTTGTCGTGAGGCTGACATTTTACTTGTAGCTGCTGGCAAGGCTCATTTTGTCAAAAGTACTTTTCTCTATTGGTTTTAAACACACGTATTATTTGCACTTCCTTATCAACTTTTCTTCAAAAATTCAGACATTCCAGTACTGCCAATGAACTTTAGCAGAGATTTTTATTGCGTGCATTTCAAACTTCTAAAAATCTTTTTTGAATCTTTTATTAGAGTGTCTAATTACTTATTGTTTTTGGTTTATTCCTGCAGCTATCTCTAGTCTACTATTCTTTTATTATTAATATTCTTTTAAAAGAAGCATTTTTTTGTATTTCTCTTTCAGTTTTATTTGGAGTATCTTAACCTTCAATAATTTAATTTCAAACTCTTGATCAGCTATTAATTTTGAAACACCTTATATTCATTTTTTCAGGTGACTGGATAAAGCATGGTGCAATAGTTATCGACTGTGGCATCAGTGTTACGGAAAAAGATGGAAAAAAAAAACTTTTAGGAGATGTTGATTTTGAGGAGGCTAAAAATGTTGCCGGATATATAACTCCTGTACCGGGTGGTGTCGGACCTATGACTGTTGCTATGCTTGTAAAGAACACTTTTGAGCAAGCAGTTAAAAGACGACTAAAGGTATATTTTAAGAAGAGGTTAACAATAGGACTCCAAGTTGCCTTGTTCCTGATAATTTAATCGTTCTTCAGACAGATACAGCGCTAATCTGGAATATACATTACCTGCCTTTACTCCCCGAAGATCCTGTGCCATCTGATATCGCTATTTCTCGTAAACAGCGAGCTAAACCTATCTCAATGGTAACAGTTTGCGCTAACAACATTTCACGACAAATTTTAAAGAGCGTTAGATGTCACATCTTAGTGATGCGTAAAATGCCAGTATTTTTAGTATTATTCATGATCTTCTTTGTTGTTTTTACTTATTTTTTAACAAATCAATTTTTTAATTTGTCAGCTGGCTAAAGAAATTGGGATCCTTCCATCAGAGCTTGATTTATATGGTGAAAAAAAGGCCAAAGTTAGTTTAGATATACTGGAAAGACTTAAAAACGTTCCAAGCGGGAAATATGTTGTTGTAACAGGTATCATTCTCACCTTATTTGTTTTTTCTTGTCTCAACACAGAAATTAGCGGCCTATATTCAAATTCTTTCAGGGGTTACACCTACTCCCTATGGTGAAGGGAAAAGCACTACGGTTCTAGGTTTGGTACAATCGCTATGTGCTCATCTTCAAAGAAATACTTTTGCTTGCGTGAGGCAACCATCTCAGGGTCCTACTTTTGGCATAAAAGGTGGAGCTGCTGGTGGAGGTTATTCTCAGGTTCAAGTTGAAATCCTCCATAATTTCTCTTTTGTTTTTTCTTTTCGGAGTCTTTCTAAATGATTGTAAGATTAGTTTTTGCTTGTTTTGCTTTTCTAATACTGAATTTATAGGTAATTCCAATGGAAGAGTGTAATTTGCACCTAACAGGCGATATTCATGCTGTCACTGCAGCTAACAATCTTTTAGCTGCAGCTATTGATACCCGAATTTTCCATGAAGCAACTCAGAAAGACGATGCGCTTTTCAGTCGTTTAGTCCCTCCTCCAAAAAAAGGTTTTTCTGATTGTTTTCTGTAGCCTGCTTAATCTTCTACATTCTTAGCTTTATTTAAAATATTTACAGAATCAAAAAACATTCAGCCCACCTATGGTCGGTTTAGTTATACGTTTTTAGCTTCTTTTTTGTTCGTTCAATAATACCAAATATATGTTTTTGTACTACTATCCATTACATAATGCAACATTAATTTGTTATAGGACTTCCGTTCTTAACGGAGATTCAACGCCGTAGGTTGGCTAGGTTGGGTATTCCAGAACCTGAAACAGTAGAAGCGTTAAGTGAAGAGGACCGACGGCGCTTTGCGCGCCTGAACATTGACCCTGAAACTATTACTTGGCATCGTGTTCTCGACACTAATGACCGGTAATTTTTGTCTTTCAAAGGCCAAATTTCAGCTTCAGGATTGTATATCGAAAAAATATTAACTTTCTGGTGCAAGATTTTATAAATGAAGTCGTTAAATGTAGTCAAGTTAATAGTCAGTCAACCGCGTATTCCCTTCTTGCAGTTTCTTGCGTAAAATTGAGGTTGGGCGTGCAGAAACCGAAAAAGGTAAAGTTAGAGAAACTGGATTTGACCTGACTGCTGCTAGTGAGGTAACATTTAAAAACGTGCATTAATTGATAGTAAATCTAAGAGTTTTTAACTGTCAGCATAAAACAAATTTTGTCGTTTTGCAGCTGATGGCGATACTGGCTCTTACAACAAGTCTGTCTGACATGCACGAACGTATCGGAAGAATTGTTGTAGCGAGCGATTATGAGGGTAAGCCAATAACAGCCGACGACATTGGAGTAACCGGAGCACTGACTGTCCTAATGAAAGATGCTATCCGCCCAAATCTCATGCAGAGTTTTGAAGGGACGCCAGTTTTCGTACATGCAGGTGAAATAACCTTACAAACTTTTAATAGCTTGCTTTAGTCTTCGCTGTTGGAGTGGAAAAAAGTAGAGTTAAATTTTACTGCTGGCAGGCTTTAATCGTTTACCGTGTGTTTTGAAGCTTAATTTTGCTTGATCGCTTAGTGAATTATGTTCTATTGAAATTTTTGTTCTTTTACGGTTTAGGTCCTTTTGCAAATATTGCGCATGGTCAAAGTTCGTGTCTAGCAGACCTAATAGCATTAAAACTTGTCGGGAAGGATGGCTACGTTATCACTGAGGCGGGCTTCGGAGCAGATATTGGCCTTGAAAAATTCTTTGATATTAAATGTCGCAGCTCTGGTCTGATGCCAAATGCCATTGTTTTGGTTGCCACAGTTCGAGCTTTGAGAATGCATGGCGGTGAGCCGGAGCGTCGTCAACCGAACACAAAAGACGATCCTGCTAAACGACTTGCGTATCTAGAAGCCGGCTGTGATAGTAACCTTCGAAAACAAGTACCACTTTAGCACAAATTTTTCATTTTTTCGGCATTTTTTGAAATTTCGTTTGGGGTTTTAGAAAGATTGCATAAACGTTCAAAAAACAGCAGAGAATAATTGTTTGAGTAAATTTCAAAGATTCTGGGCAAATGTGATTCCTTTAGTAAATAGTTCCATCGTTTTCTAAGAAAATCTTTCATAAATTCCTTTCTGAATAGCTCTGTCCAAATTGAATTGTCAGACTAAAAATTTTGGATAGTTTTAGTATATTTTATGAATCAGCCGTTTTTAGATTGAAAATGCTGGTAAATTTGGCGTACCAGTGGTAGTATGCGTGAACCAATTTAGTACAGATACAGAGGAGGAAATGGCAATGGTTTTGGCAAAATCAATGAGTACTTTTAATTTTGCATTTACTTAAAAGCTGTCGTAAGAGTACACTCTTTTTAGAGTTGTTTAGGTTTTATTTTCGTTTAATATTCTGATTTTTCTAATTCCTTGAGAATACGGAGCGACTAAAGCAGTTGGATCTGACCACTGGAAATATGGAGGACGTGGTGCTCTAGATTTGGCCAAAGCAGTCATTGATGCTTGCAATATGCCATGCAAAGCAAGGTTTGGCCTCAACAAAATTTTATTTGAAGCCAAGAATAAATTAGTTGTTATCTAGCATAATAAAAAACTGAATTTTATGTCTCAGGTATCTTTACGATTTGGACCAACCACTAGAAGATAAAATTTCAATAATCGCCAAAGAAATGTATGGAGCTGACGGAATTGAACTGTCGCCTTTAGCTAAAGAGAAAATTGATCGTTATGAGAAACAAGGCTTCAGTAAGCTAGCAATCTGCATGGCAAAAACGCCACTGTCTCTTTCTCACGATCCTACAAGGAAAGGCTGCCCCACAGGTAACCTTAAAAAGAGAATATTACTTGTTCTCAATTCTGAAATGATCGCTACTTGGTTTATGAGTTACAGGTTTTACATTACCAATAACTGATGTCCGAGCATCAGTCGGCGCCGGTTTTGTGTATCCGCTGTGTGGAGCAATTCAAACAATGCCAGGCCTCCCAACACGACCGTGTTTCTTCAACATCGATATGGATCCAGTAAGCGGCCAAGTGGATGGACTGAGCTAACTTATTACTCGCGCAGTTCATTTTTCATCTAGAACTGCTGAATTATAATTGTTGGAAAATGTGGACTATGCTTTTTCTCTCTTCTGCTACATTAGAATAGTAATTCATCTATTAGTGGAAAGTTGTCATTCCGAGTTGTTAATGAACTTAAATTAGGGAGTTCAACTGTTGACTACAGTGAAATCACTTCACTTGAAACTATGTGAGTCTCTTATTCATATAATGCGTAATAAACAAAACCCTTGGTTAGTATTCTTCTTATAACTGTGTGTGTAAAATACTAGGAGGTAACTTAAATATTTATTGTGAGTAATTATATGCAAATTAGATTTATTCTTTGAACTGACGGTTTATTTTTACTAACATCAGAATTAAAGAGCGTTATTCTGCCAGAGTCTTCAGGTAAAAAGCTATTGACCGGTTTACATCTTACATCGCAACTTGCATAAAACAGCCAGTATTTTTTAAAGAATCATCTACTTTTTGATGCTAAGTGACCAGTGATCTGATGGTAGTGCAATCATTGTTAGTAACTGCCTTTATTAACAAGAGGTTATTTTATCATACCAAAAAGTCTTAGTCTGGACTTTCATGAATTCCGACTGTGTTAGGGTTACTTAGGCAGAACGTAATAAGCCAACAAATTATTTTCATCGGTAGAATTAGTAAATCTGCATAATTTGTTAGGTTGCTATTTATATATAAGTAAATATATATATATATATATATATATATATA